GGCAGATCAGGGTTTTAAAAAGATACGTTCATCAGCTTCCTAACCCCTGCCTGGTTGATAACATTCTCAAAGAATAAAAGAAACCTGTGAGGTTGGGCTGGTCCAGAGTCTGGGTCTCTCGAGCTTGATCAGGGCAGGCAGCAGTGACTTAAATGGTTACCAAGGCAAGGCTTCTGCAAGAATCTGTTCAAGAGCCTTCTGGTCTCCAGGGAATTCTATACCTGAACAGTAACCTAGCAGGGATCAGATTGCAAGGCAGAAGTCATCTTCCGAGGGTGAGAAGAGTTCTCAAAGTTTTATTTAGTAACCTCCCTTTACAAAGCTACTTTTTTTCTCTCTCTCTCTCTCGAAGTGAGAAACAAAACCAGAATTCTACCTGGAGTTAAACCTAAGCAAATAGTAGTGTGCACAATGGATTAGGGCAGCTGAAACCCGAGCAGGCCCCACCCTTAGCAAAGGACCAAGCAGCCAAGTTTGCCTTTGATGCCCTCGCCCCTTGCTGGCTCCACCTGCACAAAGATCACTCTCCCCACAGTTGTCTCCATGAACTTCAAAGCTGGGACTCCACCCACAGACCAGCTCCACCTAGCCAGAGATGCAGGCAAAGCCTTTCAAGGAGCCAAATTAGCAGCTTCGAGAATCAGTGTTAGTTTCTTCTTGCTGCTAGTTGACTTTGAACTCCGTATCACAGTTTTCTTTCTGTGTCATTGGCTTTGAACCTCAATGCTTCAGTGCCTGAATTATCTCGTTATAACAGCACTGATACCTGCCAGACAGCCGGGAATTCCAGGTTCTCCCTGGCTTGGACAGTGCTCCAGTCCTGGCCCTACTGCCCAAGAGAAGCACACGTCCTTCCTATCTTTGAGGTATCTCATTAATACTAGGTGCTGGGGACTGAAGAGATAGCAAAGAGGAAAAGAGCACTGGCTTTTCTTGCAGAGGATCCAGGTTCAGCTCCCAACACCAGCCTGGACGCTCATAACTGTCTGTAACTCCACTTCTAGGGGATCTGATGCCTTTTTATGGCCTCCAGGGCACACATGGTGCTCATACTTAAATTCAGCCGAAAACTCATATGTATAAAATAATAGGTAAATATTTAAAAGCTAGGCTGCTAAAGACTGGAAATACTGCTCAGTGTTGTAGCCATCTGTCTGGTGTGCAAAAGGCCCTGGGCTCAAACTTTACTACCAACAAAATGAGAGGGGGAGGGGGCAGGGGAAAGGAAGGGGGGAAAGAAGAGGGTGAGAGAGAGGGAAGAGAGGGAGATCCCCTTCAGGGATTATAGGAGACCCCCTTCAGGGATTATTTTGGGGCTAGAGATGTAGCTAAAAACAAACCCTATAGAAATACAAAACAAAAGCATAGGTGGCAATGACAGCAGCAGGAAAAGAGTAGGGAAGGTCAGGCTCATCCCTCAGGCTTGTCTGGGATTGGGGCTTTTCCCTCTCCCAGGTCAGTGTGTGTGTGTGTGTGTGTGTGTGTGTGTGTGTGTGTGTGTGTGTAGGGGGTGGCCCCACCTTTCCTGAACCTCAGGCCTTCTACCTCACTATGTTTTCCTTCTCATGGCAGCCTGATAATCACATCAATGCCAGCTCATTAAGCTGGCAACTCTTTTCAGTAAATGAGTTCCCAGGGCCTGTTTTCATGGGGATTTAGGAAGAAAATAATTCAGGCGGTTTGATGTTCTTTCCACAGAACATAAGCACTGCCACTCTTTTCATGTGACTTGCATAGTCAGACCCAAGTACAGTGGGTTGTGCACACACACACCTGAGTATTTTACTTACCAAGTATGGAAAACACAATCACTGCTTGTAAATGAAATAAAAATGAACACTTGTCTAAACTGTGTTCTTGTTGAGTGAAGAAATGTTCAAAAGTCAACGTGGAACTCCCATATATACTTCTTAAGTTACGCCTCTACTAGCCCTTGGTTGTGGACCACGTACCGCAGAATTAGGCTTTTCATTGGGTAAAAGAAGTTCTTTGGGTGGGTCTACAGCTAGTGTGACTTTCTGGTCATAGAATGTGGTGGAAAAAGGACTAGCATCTTTGGCATACCTATGGTTGTCCTGATTCCATGGCATTGGATGGGTTAATTGGTTTCATTAAACAATTTTTATTATTTGTTTATTACATCTCTACCGAAGTTTGCCCCTCCTCTCTTTTTCCAGCTCCTCTCCTCCACCTCCTCTTAGCACCTTTGCACTCCCAGTCCACTCCTCCTCCATTTCTGATCAGAAAAGGGCCGGCCTCCCACGGATGTCAATAAAACATGGCATATCAAGTTTCAATAAGACTAAGCACTTCTCCTCATATTAAGGCTGGACACAATAACCCAGTCAGTATGAAGAATAGGGTCTCAAAAGTCAGAAAAATTCTTAATCCTTTCCAAATCTTCAAGCATTATCCCATTCTCAAAGGCTCGACTCAAATTTTCTTCAGCTCGGTGTTTTGGAGATTCTCCTTTGGGTTTGTGTAACACGAGGGCCGGCTTGTTGGGGTTTCTGTCCAGCCCAGTACC